AACAATTGATTATCACCACTTTCATTGAATTTTGGATGATTTCGTCAACTTTGTAACACCCATGGTGTTCCCGGACAAAAATGACCGCCATCAAGAAAAGGAATTAGTAACCATCCGGACCATACACACACACACACACACACACACACACACACACACACACACACACACACACACACACACACACACACACACACACACACACACACACACACACACACACACACAAGATGGTGTTCCCCCCCTCCCCCGTATGTGCCCATCCCCCCACATGGATCACACCTGGCACACGCAATACATGTTCAGTGTCTGTTCTTTGTATATTTACTGCAGTTTTTCATGTACACCAGTAGACTGATACAATATGTACAGTTTGAAAGGGTGTTAAATTACTTTTGGTGATGATTAATGTTTTTTGTGTTAATGTAATAGCAGTTAAAACAGGACCGGTCAAGGGGTAAGTAAGGGGGGGAAACAAACACAATAGGAGGGCTAAGTTGCGTACTCTTTAAAAAAAAAAATCCATAATTGGTCAAAAGATCCTCAGAAACACAATTTGGGACTGAATATTCTGATATAATTAAAAAACATAATGCACCAATATTTACGGAGTATCAGTGCATTGCTTATCAGGTTAGTTATCATACCTCTATAGTCAAAAGAAACACCCTTATTGTAAACCAGCTATTTATAAAGTGCAGTTTCCACAGTAAAATCACCCTTTCATATTTCATGTTGTGTGTTATAGTCCAGCAGGTGGAGACAGAGAATCACGGCTCCACATCAGACTTCCATCTTACTGTATTATAATTCCATTTTAGATTTCATCACATTTTCATCAGTTGCATAAGACCACAGATGTAGGTTTGCTTTGAGTCAGTGAGTCATAAAAGCTGCAGCAGTAAACAGAAACAGTTAAATCTCCCATTAACAGGATTCCAGTCACGTCTCACAAAAACATGTAAGCTGTTGTTAACCAGGGGAGAAAACACAGAGACTCACATGTTTCTTCCTTTATCTATTATTGAGCCTCTTTTATATTACATAGAGCTTTTTCTTAACTGATGCTATGTGTTATAATGATCATATATTAACTTCTGGATCTGAAATCATTTTATCATTAATTAATTGACAATAAATACTTGTACCTTTGATGCCTTTGATTCCATATATACAAATAAAAGGCAGATTCCTTAAGATATTAAGGATTTTAAAATCACCTGGTAACCAGACACACTTTTTTACTGTGATTTTATTGTTTCTTGCGAATATTTTTTATTTGAAAAAGTTGTAATTCCTTTAAATAGTCGTCTCCTTGGTGGGCTTTCTGTCTGCAGCTACAGTACGTGTTTTATTTGGGCTGCTATCTGCCTTGGCCAGGTCTCCCTTGAAAAGGAAATACTTAATACAAATTCAAAGGTGCTATAGGAAAATGTTAATTATTATATTGATATTTATTTTTGAAGTTTTAAAACAATATTTTTAAATGTTTTTTTTAAAGATATGATCATCATTATTTTTATTATTATGATGATTGTTATTTATTATTCATTTATTTTTCATTATTCATCTATTTATTATATCATTATTGCGTCCCGTCCTCACCTGTTTCTGAGAGGTCTCTCAGAGAGGAGCTGAGCGCGGTGCGTTTGAGTCCGTCCACCGAGGCGTACGTGTCGTCGAGGCTCGGTCTACCCAGAATGCCGTTCACCGCTTCGCCCTTCATGCCGCCTATAGGCCCCCCTCCCGGCGCCCCCCCGCCTCCCGGTCCTCCCCCCGCCATCACTCCGGGACGCATCACTCCTTTCTGTTTCTCCAGCTCGGCTGCAGGGAGGAGAGAGAGGGGAGAAAATTGTCATTCAAATTAAAGTGAAATAAAAGCTTGTCTTCAAATAATATCAGTTCTCCCCGAGGTGACGTAGTGCTACTGCCTATACTTCTAAAAGTTTGTTTACATAAATATTTGTATTTAGTTCTTCTCAAATTTCACAAAACCCCCGTTTCCCCCCTTAATAAAAAAAGTTTGGATTCTGATTCTGAGAGTTTATAGAACATGATTTTGTTACTAATTAAATTAGCCAACAGTTTTTACAGTAACAGCTGAACGATTATATCATCTATTATAACCCCTTTAGTTAATCAATAAATTAATACATACAAAATTAACTGGCTCCTATAAACATTTAAGTCATTTCTTATTTGTTCTGGGGTGACTATTTCATTAAATATTTTAATCTGCTTATTCTTACTTACTTTTAAATAATATTTTCAATTGAAATGTTATCTTATTATTTGTGTATTTGTATATGTGTTTCTTATTGCTGCATGTCACTTGCATCATTATGTTTTACTAATATTTTATTGCAGTATTTCTATCCTTTTTAATGTCTTAAGTAAAGTATTTAGCATTGTTTGAGGAGCCTGGGACTTAACATTGTGTGCATTTAGCAATAAAACATTTGAATGAATTCAGGCCTTTAAATTCTATTGAAGTATTTTACAGAATTCTGATTACTTCCTTCAATACTGTATACTACTATTACCACTGGGTTGACGCCACTGCTGTGACCACTGGTATTATCACTACTATATAAATAAGTACAGAGTCAGGAACACTCACACTCCACGCGGTACTTCTCCATGTCCTGCACCTCAGCGATGCTCTCTCGGAGGTCAGAGGTGAAACGAGCTCGGTCCTGCTGACTCGGCGCTGTGAAGACGATCAGAACCTTCCTCTCTCCGCCGGGGTTCGCCGACGTCAGTCTGATACCATGAGGGTAATCTGTGTGAGACACACACACACAGACACACACACGTTACACACTGTGACCTCTGGGCTAAAAGTCTGACCTTGCTGTGAAGAGCAGAACATCAAAGCTGAAAAGACTCACTTCCTATTGTTGGACAAAAATAGATGATATGAAATGTTTTGGTCTTTTAACATTAAAAATGAAAAATGTAACGATCTAAAACATGAATGTTGAACATCAGATATTGATGATGGTCTCTTTGAATGAAAGAACAAAGGAATTCCTGTCAGAAAAGAGTCTCACAAGGTGAAATCCTTTAAGATCTCATCCTTTGTCAAATTGTGCACTTATTTAACAATATATTCCAAAAGACAACAAAAAGAAAATCAATATATCGTTCATTTTAAATCACATTTCAATGGGGATCAAATGCTGCTTCCTGGCTGATGGTGGAAAAAACGTGAAATAATTCTTCCCGCCAGAAGTTACAAATACAGAATCTATCAAGTACATCATTCAAAATGGTTCCAATTTGTTATAAAATGTTTTGTTTTTCTCAGGATAACCGAGTATAAGAAGCTGAATGATGAAAAAATGCTCGTATAGCCTTAAAAGACACACACACACACACACACACACACACACACACACACACACACACACACACACACACACACACACACACACGTTTGACTCCATGTTTGCATGAACATCCAATATCAATGTTTTCTGCAGGTGTGTTGAAGTGCATATGATTTTTATATTCTTATAGTATTTTCTTTTTTAATCTTTTTCTTAAAGGAGAGGTGTCATGGCCATGATTCCTCTCTGCATGTAAACAACCGCCATGACAGACAGGAAGTGAGGTAATGGCAGGAAGTGAGGTCACAGCGACTCCCCNTTCTGCATTTCTGATCAGATGTCCCAGAAAGCTTTCCTGAGTTTACTCAGTGGTGTAAAGTAACTAAGTAAATGTGCTCCAGTACTCTGCTTGTCATTCAAACTAGCTGCACCTTTACCAGCTTTGAGAACACTTTCATGATCAATCATTATAAAACATATCATATATATTATTCTGAAATGGACCAATCTGCACAATGACTACTTTTACTGTCGCTACTTTCACTATATTTTGATGATCATACTTTTCTACTTTTACTTAAGGAACAGTTTTGAATGCAGGACTTTTACTGAAACAGAGTATTCCAACACTCTGGTACTTCTACTTTTACTCAAGTACAAGACCTGAGTACTTCTACTTTTACTCAAGTACAAGACCTGAGTACTTCTACTTTTACTCAAGTACAAGACCTGAGTACTTCTACTTTTACTCAAGTACAAGATCTGAGTACTTCTACTTTTACCCACGCACAAGACCTGAGTACTTCTACTTTGACTCAAGTAAAACACACGAGTACTTCTCCCACATCTGGGAAGAAGTACAAAGCAGCAAAACATGGAAATACTCAAGTACAAGTACCTCAAATGTGTTTTAAAGTGCAGTATTTGAGTAAATCAACTTAGTTACTTGACACCACTGCATTAAGGCGACATGTATCTTTACCACAGTATAACCCCCTCCTCTGACAGGTAGACTCTCACCTTGTTCACCTGACCCAGGAACAGATCTTTAGCATAAGCCAGGTTCCTGCTGTGGGTTCTGATGTTCCTCTGGAGAACCACATGTTTCCCAGCATGCTTCACTGTACACAGCAGCTGTCTGATCTGAGCTGATTTAGAGAGAATTAATCTGTTAACACTCATCATTTCTCCTGGAGTAAAACACTGCTTCTTGTATTCCGCAGGCAGGAGTGTCATAAACAACCTCAGCCGGGCTACCTTTCACCCGATTCTGTCGCGTAATGATGACGTACACGCACGGTGTTGAATAATACTTCACAGACCGTCGGAAATAGTCAACTTCTGCATGTGTGTGCATGATATACTGGATTTGTTTTATACAAAGGCTAGTTTAACATTTAAAATAATAATAGAAAATAGAGAAAAGGCAGTGAGCATAACGAAAACATATTTTGGTTGATTTTTAACTTTAGAGAATATGGATTTTAATCGATTAACAATTTCCCTGCACAAAGTTGCCCTTCAAGTCTGTTGAAGGATAGGACTCATGGATGTTATAAATACAAACCGATGACAAATTTAAAGTATTTTTCAAACACTATCTGCATGTGAAGACTTCAAATTATATTTATCAGCAGTTATAGTAGGCTATTTGTCTCTGCACCTACTGCTTGGAAAATTAAAGTACGTGTTTTCTCAGCACTGAAAGAAAATATTGCCATTTTTGACTTCGAAATTTCCCAAATGTAAGGCAATTGAGTCTAAAATGTTGCTTTTGCCAGCCTCTGATATTCCCAACTCTTTCCTGGCCTAGTTTTAATGATTCCGACAGCACATGAACGCATCATTACAACACTGCAGTAATGCGTGGCTGCCACTTGATGACGCAAAAGACTCACTTTGTATCAAGCGAATATATTAAATACTGTAATCAACATGGAATAAGTTTCTCAAATTACACATACAGGGTAATTTCAGGGTATTTATGGTGGTTTTTGTACATTTATTTATCAAGTAGGCATATGTGCACATATAGCATGTATAACACAGTTTGGAATTTGCAACAATAATAATTATAATAATAATAATAACAACAACATCCATAATGATACTACTACTACTACTAATAATAATAATAAATACATAAATGCAATATTTTTCTAAACAATAATAATAATAATACATCATAAATACAATAATTTAAATAAAAAAACATAATTTAATAAAAATATAAAAATATACAAAATTAAAATAAATTCATTATGATTATTGTTCTCAATTATCATAATTATACATAATAATTACAGAAATAATTATGATCATATTTTTCATTCATATAGCACTTGTCAAGCTTAACCACGAAGGGCTTTCCATATTTAAAGATTTAGTCCAAATATATATATTTTTTAACCATACCCAGTTTATGTACATCACAATGAAACCCATTCTTAGCAGTGAGAGGAAATGCAGCCCCTCCCAGCTGCATGATGACGTCCTGCTGACACGGAGGATGTGGCCTTCAATGCTGGATCTATTTTTAGCTCCAACCTCAAGGGCCGGACAGACAAATAGGGCAAATTGTCAGTCTGACCACCACTGACACACCGTCACACAAACACACAGTCACACTGACACAGAGTCACATAGTCACACAGAGTCACACCATCACACAGTCACACTGACACACAGTTACAGAGTCACACAGTCACACAGTCACTCAGTCACACAGTTACACTGACACACGTCACACAGTTACAGAGTCACACAGTTACACAGTCACACAGTCACAGTCACTCAGTCACACAGTCACACAGTCACAGTCACTCAGTCACACAGTCACACAGTCACACAGTCACACAGTCACACAGTCACACAAGTCACACAGTCACAGAGTCACACAGTCACACAGTTACACAGTCACCTATCACAGTCATGCCAGACTTTTAGACAGAGGGCACAGATGGTATGCCCTCTGTATAGGTCCTGGAAAAGTGAGGAGAGTAATAGGGAATTTTACAAAAACAAAGTGTATATCTTATGAGAGAGCTTTGTCAAGTCTAAGAAAAAAACTAAACAAACATGACATAATCAGGGTAGAGTCATATTTAGACTAGACGTTTATGACAGAAATCACATGCTTCAAACTTTGGTTGGGGAGTTTTAAAAAAGTGTAACTCAGCATGGAGGAAAAAATGACGGCACTTATGGCACATGTGACCTTACGACCAGAGATGGGGTCGAAAAAAAGAAGCAATATATTACTTTACTTCGTTACTCTAAGTAACGCGTTACTTTACTCGTTACTTTACTCGCAGGGCCGCCCCTCCCTACAGGCAGATCACGCAGACTGCGGAGGGTGCTTCATTTTGGGGAGGTAGCGGCCCTGTTTACATCCTCACTTTGGGTGCTATTAGCTTCACGTTAGCATGTTGTCTTTGCAGGTGCTTGTTGAGGTTTGATGTGGTGTTTGCAGCAGTGGATAAAAGCTTCTGGCCTGGACACAGTTTGCACCTCACCGTCACATTCCTGTCCTTTCTTCGGACGAACTCAAAATAATGGGCATACCTCCACCCCTCGAAAGTTATCGCTGTTGACTCGGCCATGTTTATGCACTGCATGTGGACGCACAAGTCGCGCAAATGTTACGTAAATATAAACCTGCGGCGGAAATCCCTCCTGTCTGTCAAAGGGAGAATCCACGGCTCTGGGAGAATCTAGTAAGTATTTATGTTAGTAGGCTAACTGTATTGAGATTACTGATATTATAAAAGTAACGAAGTCACGCGTGACGGGCAATGTTAGTCACTGTAGTGTGATTACTGAATTATAAAAGTAACGCGGTACACCCAACTCTGCTTACGACCCGTTAATTGACCCTGGGAGGAGTTTTGATTTGAACATTTGTCACACATTTCACACCTTCTTTCTGGCAATGGCATTTTTTTTAGGTGTAATATCTTTTACTTTTATGTTGGTTTATTGTTTCTCTACATTTACCGTCCGTCCTTCTCGTTTTCTTTCTTTCTCTTTTGCTTTCCTTTACTGGGGAGGGTTCAGCTTTCATGAATCCAAAGTTTCATGAACCACCAAATCAATATTCAAAAAGTATTCCAGGCTGTTTTCTTTACCAGACGGAAAACTAACCAGTTTTTTTGGCAACAGCTGACGTTAAATTAACCAAAAAGTTCTAAGTCCTAAATTCTTATGCTGCGTTCACACCGGACGCGATGCAATGTTTGGGGGCTGCGCGATTATGTAAAGTCAATGCAGAGATGCAGACAGACGCAAATTCACTCCGACGCGCATGAAGCGGTTGATGCGAATTCCGCTGCGTGATTGAGGCGATTGAAGGGGGCCGCGACAAACACTCGAGTTCAATTTTTTCAACTCGAGCGTCATATTCGCGTGACACGATCACGCGGTAGCCAATCAGCGGTGACGGTACGTCCAC